TTGAGAAAGCATTACAGAGTCCCTCAAAAGTTACCCAAATCATACTTCAATCTGCCTCCACCAAAAGAATCTTTGCCAGCCTCATATGAACTCCTTCCACCTCACCTAGAAATATATTTCCTGCATGATCCAATGACAATGGATACACGCGAACTCATTGGTATACTAAGAAAGGAATACAAACTTATTATCCTGCCAATAGACTACTACAAGTATAAAAGATCTCTCTCCAAATTCCCAAATCCACTCTTAGATGAAATTAACATTTTAATCCCAGCAAGCACCAAGGAAAATACAATGATCCTAATTGCCCAACTAAGAAGTAACTTCAAATTTAGTCTTCCTCTCGGCCCAGCATGGATGGACCCAGCAATCTCACAAACCAATAAAGAAAAACTGCCAAGCAAAATTAGTGAAGTAGATGTTTCTTTGGAAATCAGTGCCTTCCTAGATTATAGGGATAAGCAGTATTAAGAGAAAATTAGAAAACTCGATCAGAGATATGAATTTTTTATACTGCCTGAAGACTGGTTTAAAGCTTCTAAAGCACACCTTCCCTCAATTAAAGAATTAAACAGACTCAACCAAGAAAATCATGTAGATATCCAATTCACTCTCAGGGACGATGACGACCTATCAACTTATATTGCTCAACTCCACAAAAGTTACAACTTCAATAGACTACCAGATGAATATATACTTACGGAGGACCTACTGGAGCCCGGTTTTGACCTCATCCCATTTATTTGTTAAAATGAAAGGTTTATCCAACTTTATACACTCGCTAAACAGTTTCATACAAAACGCCACCCCTGATATTAACACCACTACCACAATTAAAAATCTTCTCAACATCACAACGTTAAATGTAAGAGGTCCCAACGAAAGATCAAAGTTAACAACCCTCATACACGACCTCACAAATGAAAGATCAATAATGTGCTGTTCTGAAACCAAAGTCTCTATAGCCAACCCCCTCCTAAAAAAACTTAATAACAAGACCATTATTGCAAGCACACCATCAACGTCATTGAAAAATGGCTCATGCCTAATTATAGGTGGCAACCTAGTTAACCACATCTTTGCAACATATGCTGAAAATGAATATTGATGCTCAGCTCACTTGAAATTTAAACCAAAAGTTGATCTAATTATCATGTCTATTTATTTGTCTCACAAAACAAGCGAAAGAAAAACAGCAACCAAGTCACTTGTAAAGCACTTAAGAAAATTCAAAGGACCAACTCACCAGATATTGGCAGGTGACTTCAACTCCTACTCTATAGGCACCCCATCCATCAACGCATCAATAACAAACATCAAAAAAACATTTACAACTATTTGTTTAATTGAGTGGACATTATGAAAGTCCTAAATAGAGAAAGCGAGTTCATCCACATAACACAAACAAGTGCATCAAGAATTGACCAAATCTGGTGTACAAACCATCTTGGATCCAAAGTTCTTAGCGCAAGACCTCAGAATCTCTATTGATTGTCACAGATCACAAGCAAGTGCAAGTAATTTTTGATTGGTTCGAACATAAGCTCAGAGCCCCAGGTTGTCAGACCAAGTTATTCGATTGGAAACAAGCGATATCAGAACAAAGAAGCAACTTTCAAGAGGAAACAGACCTCAGGATTTCTATGATGGACAGCCATTCCTAGCTATCATTCAACTATGCCATTATAAACGTAGCCAAGAATAACCTACCATTAGTAAAACCAATCATGAACAAGGCCCCCCAATACAATAGAGGTCAACATTATAAAACAATCAGACAAATCAAAAAAATTATTTCTAAGAAAAAAAAATCTATCTCAGTAAGAGTACCAGGATACATTGCACAAATTCACAAAAAAATTTTTGGACCCGTGTCAATTTCTATCAAATCACTGAACCAAATTAAAAACATACTTATCAAAGAAAGACTCAATAATATCAAAAAGCTTTATATTGAACAAGTTCAGAAAAACATTACAAATAACTTTATCAAAATTTGGAAAAGACCAAAGAGCTTCATTAAAAAAGCACTAGGCAATCTCAAGTCCTCACTAGATCTTAATTTCATACAAGATGAACAAGGCATACTCACAGATAACCCAGAGGAAATAAAAAGCATTATAACTAACCACTTTAAAAAAGTCCTGACGAATAACAACTTCAGTCTGTCCGATCCATTCTGGTCTAACAAGTATGATCCTATTAATACAATCGAAGAAGGTACATATAATGACACTTTGAGCCCAATAAGCCTTACCGAAATGGAAGACACATTACAAGAACTACTCCTAGATAAGACCCCAGGATGCTCAGGTATTATGTACGAGATGATTAACTCCCTCGGACACGCCTTAAAACAAATACTCCTACAGTTATACAACAAGGTCATCAATAATGAAATCATCCCACAGAACTGGAAAAGGTCAACAATTGTTCTACTACCCAAAAAAATTATATGGTCACAAAGAGTTTCAGACACTTGCCCAATATCCTTAATCAAGTCAATGAGAAAAGTTTTCACAAAAATAATTAATACCAGACTATCGAAAATTATATATGAGAATGACATCCTGTCAAAAGCTAGCTTTTCAGGATTACCTAATCAAAACACAATGGAACCACTAACCATTGCGGCCTCAAGCTTAAACATAGCAAAAAATCTGAATAGCAAACTCTGGTTGGCCTCCTTTGACATCGCAAAGGCATTTGATTCAGTTAATCTTAGCAGTCTTAAAGCTGCTCTAGAAAGAATCAAAATTCTGAGCAAGCCTATCAATATTTTTCACAACCTGCTATACAAACGAAAACTCGCAGTAGCAACAAACTTTGGCAGTACAAACAACATAGAGGTGTCAAAAGGCCTAAATCAAGGAGAGACACTTTTACCACTTTTGTGGACAATATTCTACGATCCAATGGTGACAACAATTCATAACCATGCCAAGCAGCCACTAATTCCATATAGCATCCTCACTTATATAGACGATGTGCTTCTCACAGCAAATTCTTTAAACAGTCTTCAAGACTCTACAAATATCTTTTGCTCCTTTCTCACTCTTAACAACATAAAATGCAACTCAGACAAAACAATGCTCATCACTACCTTAGCGAACAACAATAGTGCAAGAAACACAGGCTTACGAGTCACAGATACAGTAGTAAGATCACTTAGTATCAAAACCCCTCTTCGATACCTAGGGAATTTCTTCGCAGGAGACCCAGCAAGAGGTATACCAAACCAGACTTACATCAAGGACCTGAACCAAATTGTAGAAGCCTGTCACAAACAAAAATAGAATGGACCAATAATAAAACAAGTGCTGGATTGGATCATTTCCAGCAAACTCAATTACTCTCTCTTAACAAGCTCTCTCCCTAGGCCGCAATTACAAAAGCTTCAGACTAGAGTCAATAATACAATCAAAGAAAAGTTCAAAATAGAAAAAACAATATCAGACAAAATTGCTTACTTGCAAGCCAGACTCAACCTGATAAACCTAATAGATAACCAAACCTGACTCTAATAAAACTTATTATTGCCAAACTCACTAATACAAAAACCCAAGAAGCTATGTCATATGAAATAATTCCCTCCAAGCCAGTCTTGCCATCTGGCTCTGCCCAATTTGTTACCCAGAGAAATTTCCAAAAACATGGATCACACAAGCAGTGGCAGTCTCAAAAATGTATAGAATTGACATTTGTCTCACTTCATGTCAATATAACCATTTCAAAGAAGAACAATTACTTGGTCTTCACTTTTCTTTTAACAGTAAATACCTAAAACACCAGGCACTAGGACTGAACAGAGGAAATATCAAGTTTTTAGAAGACCTATTTATTTTTCAATTAAACAGAAAACTAACATGGCATGAGTTCAACACACATTTTCGTCCTATACCAAAGATCCTATACCTTTCTGGTTTACTAAAATCAATCCCCCACCTACCCTCAAAGGAACCTCGACCTGCATCCCAAATACAAGAGTCAGATTCTGGGCCTTTATTAAAAACAATGAGTTGAATTTCATTAAAACAAAGATCAATCATGACCATATCCACTCTCAGATAAAAGGAACCCATTATAAGCTAACAATAAACAAAACTCTCAAAAAATATCAATGCCACTTCAACAGCCTTCAAATCGCTATCCCAACAATCAAAGCAATATCCCTCTGGACATACAAGACAAATAATGAGCATTGCTTAGCCAATGCACTAGAGGAAATTTGGCTCCAACTTCAATACAATGCCACTCCAGACAATAATCCAAGAGTAGAAATCAGCTATCATGAGTGCAGAAACCTACCAGTGCTACTTAACAGTAATATCATAGAGGATCTCAAACAGGTCATCAACTTTAATAGACTATTCTTACATGTTAATGTCGAGAGCAAAAAAAAATTAATAACCATACATGGACATGACACCAATATAGCTTTACACTCAACAAATCCACAGCCAATCAATATTCTCTTAGGAATAATTGGTTTAGTGAAGGCAGCAAACAACTAGACATATATAGCAGTTAATCTTCCAAAGAAGCTAAATTTGTATATTCCAAGTTACTTGAACCAAAGAGTCAAATTTTCATATAGTTTCTTAAAGAAAAGAATCAATAGCACATGTGAATGCAAAAATATTAAACTGAGATTAGAGTCAAGCCCGGTCATCTCAGGCTATCAAGACAGTGATATAATTATAGGGATCAATAACCTAGTGGAGCTAGTTAACTACATCTCAAGTCCAAAAATCAAGAACAATTGGAGCTACAGCCCAGTTGTTTGGACCAAAATAATTTAGCAGACATATAGACTCGTTGACATCACTCAGAGCTCATCAATCAAAAACAGGTGGAAAGTCAGCATAAAAATATCAGCACTTCAAATTCTAGCCAAGGCAAATAAGCTATTAACCAAGAGAGATAAAATGAACACCTCTTCTCTACTAGCCTTCAGACTCAAACTGCTAAGCAGAACGTTGCCATCTAGATAACTGTTACACAATCAATATCCAAGCACCTATATTGATAACATTTGCCCTAGGTGCCTTATAGCAGTAGAGACTCAGAGCCACATTTTCGACTGCTACAAAAATATCGCAGCATATAACAAAATGGAAAACAAGATAAGGAAAAGTTTGACAAAGCTTATAAGAAAAAGCAACAATAAGAAGAACCTAACAGAAATCGAGAGAAATTTGCAAAAACTAGACTTTGACCGAAAGTCTAACCTGGACAAACTCGCAAGTGAAATGTTAAACATAGACATACAACTACCTGTTGCCAGCCATGCCAAGATGGCAAACAAAATACTAGCCCTATTATACTTACAGATATAAATTCCAAGATCAACAACCGCTAACACATCCAAAGTAAAGAAAGTCAAATGGAAAAGATACTCCCATCCAATCGAAAGCTCCAGTAACACCCATCCATCAAAAGCTATTCCAGATGATAAAAATTTACTAAAGTTAATAATGGAAGTTACAGAATCACAAGCAAATCATAGCAGTAGCATTATCAAATCTCAAGTATTCATCTTAACTCTGGAAGGGCATTTACCATCCAGTATTAAAACTAATATGAAATATACTAAGTGTAACTAGGACAGTGATAGTTAGCATCGTAGATAGGTTAACATTAATTTATAAACTCAACTTTGTAAAGATGTTTTTTTTTTTTTTTTTTATCGCAAACAGGCATTAAATGCGAGACATTTATTAAACATGGTTTATCGTCATTACATT